GCCCAAGGTAAGAACTAACTTCCTAAGACAACTATGCCTTTTTCCTCCTCTGGGTCAAAGGAGCTGTTCCTCATTTGTTTATGGAGGGCTTTGCACAGCTGGTGAGGTCAGGGTTGGGTTCAATCCTGAAATAAGACAGTTAACTCCTCCAAATCCCAAGGTGTCGGGTGCAGGAGCCCATACCTGGCCCTGTGGGCATCTCCTGCGCCATTTCCTCCAAGGAACACCATGCCAGAATGCTATCCCATTAGCAGTGGGAGGGGAGCATCATCTTTGACTTGTAACCAGAGCCCTTTAGTTACTGGGACACAGAGTGTTTTAGTTGCCTGGGAAGTAAATTTGACGCCTCATTTTTTAAAGGGCAAAATAAACCAAGAGATGCAGTTAACATGAGCTTTTATTGCAAATCTAGTTCGAAATAAGAGAGAAGAGTGTCAACTTGGAATTAAGAAAATAAAAAACACCTCCTAGTGAAAACAAAGTGTCAGTTTTTCTAAGAAGCAAAATTTATTGTATTTATGCTGTAACGAAAACATTGCCTGTGTTTCAAGTGAGGGGGACAAAAAGAAAAAAAAATTCTTGGCTATACTTTTTCTGTCTGTAGAATTAAACAATGTCCATATTCAAGAAACTGAAGATGAAAACACAACAAAAACACAACAGTCTTTTTATTTGTGTAAATCAGATCAACACTGGACAATAAACCAATTTCTACCCATTACCATAACAGCTCGTCTATAAAGAACAGAAAAATTCAGATAGGATTCTACCTAGGGGCAAGCTATTTTTTTGGGTTTTTTTTTTTACTTTTTTTTTAACCACCCATTCACAGAGGTATAGATTCACAGATAAATAATCCCAAACTACTTGCCATATTTACACATTCCCATTAAATTAAGCATAAATAAATATATACAAACTTAACATGGATACCCTCCAGAGCTCTTCTTCTGAAGAGCCAATAGATTGATATTCTCGATTGTGTGGCAAAAACAATGTTAGTGAATTAGAGACCAACTCAACAGTGGAGTCAATTTTGGCATTTAAAGAATAGTGTTCATTCGACCTTTTGAAAGAAAACAAAAATGAATTTTGATATTTCTTCTTACTCTTCTTTCTTTCTTTCTTTCTTTCTCTTTTTTACCCCGGTAATTTAACATATATTGGCACAGGAGGGGAAACACTGTTTGGGCTCTTGAGGCAACATCAGATGGTTTAAGGTTATTATTTCCTTTCCACATAATGTATTACGCATACAGGATATCAGATGTGATGACAAATTCTCTATAAACACTCTAAGTAAGAAGGAGTTGCCCTTTTAAGTAAGGCTTTGTACCAGAGGAACAGTGTGTAGATAAGTCCGAGGCTTCAGGTTTTCCATTCAACCAAAGTTTTCATAGGATATGAAATAATTGCTTGAGAGAAAGTGGTTTCCTTGGCCAAAGAAAATAAAACAGCCAGGTCTTTGAAAGCCTCTTCGGTTCTTTATGTGGGGGTGGAGAAAGCTAAGGATGTGGAGCCAGAGAGAAGGAAAGAAAATGGAAGATAATTTTGGGGGTGGGGGTGGTGAAAGAAAGTTACTTTCCAAGTTTAGGGGAAAAATTAAAGATCGTTTTGATGGTGGAATACTTTCCTGGACAGCTCCCCCGCCGTTTTTTTGTTTGTTTTGTTTTGTTTTTGTTTTTGTTTGTTTTGTTTTGTTTCTCCCCTGAGACCCATAATACCTGTAAGGGGAGGCCGGGTCGGACAGAGAATGGTCAGGCGACCTCTGGAACCTCCAAAGGAACTTGCAGAGTGGAAAGTGTGAAGGCAACGCTGCCACATCCTGACTCCTTTTTTCTATCTTTAGCTATGTTGGTTTGGGACTGAGCGTTTGGGAGGGGGGCACGCGGCTGTCTAAAGAGTGCAGGGGTGGAGGAAGAGCTGCAACTCACCTGTTTGGTTTGAAAACAAAGCTCAGAAGAGCTTGTTTTAAACGTTTCCCTTGACTTAAAAGGCAAACTCTTGCGTTAATCCTACTGTTTATTGATTTATGGGCCCAAGGAAACCAAATCTTTTAATAACTCAATTATCAGATAAACGTAGCGGGCCAGGCTAACGAAAGCAAAGGGGTGGGGGTCGTACCTAAAAAGGAGAAGGGAGGGAGGGAGAGGGGGCAGTGAGCTCTCTCCACGCGGGGAGGGGCGCAGGGGAGGCGCGCAAGGGGCTCTACTTAGCGGGGGCGCGGAGGAACACACGAATGAGGGTGAAGGGAGTTGAAGGGAGCCTGCATAGCCAAATAGCACGATTCCTATCCCATCACCCGCCTTTAGGAGCGTGAGGAGGGCGAGAGTTTTCATCCTGGCAAAGGCGGGGGAAGCTTCCGATTCCCTGGACATTTCTAGGCCACTTGCCTCCGGGGAGCAAGTGCCCGGAGCGGCCGCTGGTAGCAAAGGGCAAAGGCAGCGCTGAGACCCCTCCCCGCCTGCTGCCCGCGTGGCGCCGCCCCATTACCTACTGGAGAATGGGGCTTTCTCGGTCGCCTTAGCCCTTAGGGTGTGACCGAGAGCGAAAAGGGCCCGCGCGGCCCGCGGCCCCTCCAGCGGCTGATTCTATGTCCTCAACACGACTGGGCGTCAGTGGCCCACACGCTCTCAGGACCTGCACAGTAAGAGCAAGGCGCGTCCATCGCGTCTCTCGAACGTCACACGCGTGGGGCGCGTTGCCCTGCAAGGAAAGGAGACGATGGTTTTCAGTGTGGTTTCTCCTGGCCTTTTGCAACCAGAATACATATAATGCAAGCGGCCAGGCCCTCGGACAAAGGCGCAGGCTTCTGAGCTGGGGAGAGATGGAGTGTCTACACCCTCCATAGGGGTTAGTTCCCGGCCTTTGTATTTCACCCGGTCTGGGGCTGAGCCCTGCACACCCAGAGGTCCCCAAAGGAGCTAGCGGTAGTTGGGCTGGGGAGTGACAGTAACCGTTGTTTGGACCTTCCAGGTGACCTAAAACCTGCTCCCTAACTCCCTTCCCCATGAAAGTGTCAGCGCAAAGCTCTCAGCAGGTGCCTAAAGCCCAATCCTCCAACCTACCCCCCCCCCCAAGGCCAAAGCCCTTTGGGGCGGCAGAACTGAGAGTCCCAGAGGATTCTGTGAATCCTGAAGAACAGACATCTGGATCTTTAACTTCCAGGGATGTTGCAAAGGTCCTAAGGTCTACTTTGTATAAAGAGGTGCGTGTATCAACACTAAATTTAGACTACTGGGGGTGGATTTCCCCACTGCTTTTGGGAGAGTGGGGACAATAGGTTCCAGATTTATTTTCACGATAATGCCCAGATGAAGCCCAAGAAAGGAGCTGGGCTGCCAGAATGAGACACAGTAAATGCATGAAACTTTACCCACTGGGAATAATAGTCCCAGGGTATACAGACGGTAAAATTCAAAGCTGAAATACATCTCCTTTCACTTTGCATTCATTATTTTGCCATCATATGCCAAAACGAGTGCACGTCTTGGGAGGGGGCGGTGATGCCTCATTCAGAAAGCATCTTGTAGAAAACAATTGTTGCTGAAACACGGAAGCTTGCACCACCCTCTTGCCCAGGACCACTCGAAAAGCTGCTTCCTTACCCGCTAAAACAGCAATCACCAAAGAGCCCAAGGAAATGGAATCTATTTCAAAGGCAGGGCAATATTGCTAAAATATTGGACTCCACGAATCCTTACTTTTCTCCCCTAAAATTCATTTTCAGCTCCCTCCCCCCTCCCCTGGAATTCCGTGTTGAGGTATCTGTTAGCAACTAGACTCAAAGCTGCTTCAATTTCTTATTGGCCACTTTCTAAATTATTCCCTTTGAGCTTCTTTAAAGAAGTGCACCTGCAGAATTCTGACACACAGGCTTTGATTAAAAAAGGATCGGATTTTTTTTTTTTCTCTGTACCTTATAGATTGTGTAGGAAGCCCAAGTCCTCTTTGAAGAAGCTCATAAACCATGCGGGCAAAGCTTTGGAAAACAGAAGAGAATGAAATGGTACATACCCCTCCGAAGGAATTACATACTAATCAACGTATTCATATTGTGCTTTTTTTTTTTTTTTTTTACTATTGTTCTTAAAATTGGTAGATGACACAAACATAACAAATGCAAGATTCTCTGTATGCAGGTGCTGGCAAGGCTGGGAATTAGTAACATTTCTGAAAGGAACTGATGATGAGTCTGAATCAACTTATTGATCCGGATTTTCCTCAGCCGCAGGAGCCTCTCTGCTCGGCGGGCCCGCACAAGCGGCAGCCACCGCCGGCACCGCGGCGGGCCTCCCGCCCCGCCCGCCCTCGCCCTCCCCGAAGGGTGCCAACGGGAGCTGGGCACCGGTGAGTTAACAACGCAGGGCGCAGGGCGGGGCGGGGGTAACCGAGGGGCAAACGCAAAGGGGCTAAGCACACTCATGTTCATCCCGGAAAATTCCCGTGACAGCTTGAGGGAGGGAGGGCAACATAGAAAAGGGTGGTTGGGAGAGGGGTGAGGTGAGGGGGAAGGGCGGGGACTGCGAGAGTTTCCTAAAAAAATATTAAAAATTAAAAAGTTCGTGCGTCTCAGTCAACCAACTCTCAAAGCACTGACACCAACAATGTTTCTCCGATTTTCTTCCAATAAGTTAGCGTTTTCTCATGTTTAGTCTTATGTTTATTTTTCCAAAGGGGGAAAATCATGGTTTTCTTTTATTATCAGTATTACTAAGCTCGAAAGAACCGAAGTGGAAAATCCGGACGTTTGTCTCCAAGTGTATCTTGAAATAGACACTGAGAACCGATATTGTTGCTCCGTTGTAAGCCTCAGTTTTTTTTTTAAAGTTATTTAGCTCTTTTTTTAAAATTTGATTGTATGTGTATTCTACCTAATATAATTAATTCTTCCAAAGCCAATCCAACATTTTAAAGCTAAAATTAAATTTTTTTTTCTGTTTTCCTTTTGTATTTAAAACATTTTTCTTTCTTTCTTTCTTTTTTTTTTTTTTAATTTTTCATTTCCTGTGTTTCTCCTCCTTGTCGCCAGTTTTACTACCTGGGCCTTCCCCAGACGTGTGCCTGTTAGTGGTGGTGTTGTTCAAGAACATCTTGTCCATGCCTTTGAGCGCCTCGGTGAGATAGTTCTGCAGGGCCGTGAGTGCGGCGCAAATGGCCGGGGCTCCGAAGCCGTGCGTGATGAGGCTGAAGTGCGTGAGGCAGCTCTGGATCCCCGGCTCCAGGATAGGGCTAGGTCTGCTGTTCCCGATTGGCGTCCGGTCCTGCGCCAGCAAATCCGTAAATTCTTTACAAAGTTGCCTGCAAAGAGGTGGGAGAGGAATAAAAAATCACTATCGGTGTCGTTGTCATTGGCATTAGAAAGGAGACGCGCACACTAGCCCAGAGGCGCCGGGTCACCATAGAGCCGGAGAGCGAGGCTAATGCGGACGATTCCGCTCTGTTTCCCTTCACGGCACTCTTCCTTCTAGAGCAGCTGGGACGAGAAGGAAAGCGGGGGTGGGGAAGTTATGCACCCCTTACAGCCCACAGCCTTGCCTTTCTCCCCACATCCAGTCTTTCCTCCTTCATTCCAGGACCGCCTAAACCCTGCTTGGGAAATCCGCTAGGCTTTAGCATTTGATCTTTACTATTCAGTCATTTTTGGCTCTTACCTGGCAGATTTTTTTTTTAAGCCCTTTCCCCCTTCTCTCCTCTGCCTCTCTAACCTCTTGATGATCAGACTCAAAAAGCCCTGAAAGATTTAGGCCCCTAAACCACAAGTCTGTCCCTGGCACAGAAGCAGATTGCCAGAGACTTGCATGGCCCAGGGCAAGCAACTGTTTATTCCAGGACAGAATGCTGATTCCATTCAAAGCAAAAATCTGTTTACCTGCAGTATTTGGGAAGGAAGGTATTTTCCCCCCTTTCCCTTTCTTTTAAGTACAGGCTACTGAAAATCTTTGTACAACAGGATTGTTGTCAATATAAAAGGATTCCTACATTGTTTAAATAAAACCTACAGGTAGATGGGTAAGACACTGGGGAGGGTAGACTTTTATTTGTTGAAGGTTTTTATTTCCTCAGGGCAACTACAATTTAGAGGAAACTCTCAGCCTTAGAAATACTGTGTGCCTACGAATTGAGCTTATTTGAGAAATTTTTAATATAGGAGATGGACAAGAGGCTTAATATAGGATGGTTTTAGCCCAGAAGGTCCAATGGCATGGCATCCCAAAGGCCACGACCTTTCACAGACTGGCAAACTTCTCCTGTCAACCTGCTTCCACCAGTCCATGGGTCTATACAACTCCAGTCCCAGTCCCTCCCCACCCCCCCACCCTCACCTCCAGTGTGGCCTGACGCTTGGCAACACGTGGCCTGGCCAACGGGTAAACAAGGCAGTTACCCAGAGGCCCTTATCAGTGACCCTGGGGCATCCTTTGCCAGGGGGATTACTCTCAGGAAGAGTAATGGCTAAACAAGACAGAGACTACGTCCCCCACCCCCACCTGCAGCAGGTGAAAAGGTTTTAGTTTTAAGGCTGGTGGTTAGATAATACTGACAGCCATATCTCTACCCTCTCTCTACTGGTTACTCCATTCAAAATGCACACCTACATCCTCACAACCAGGAAGAAATAGGTTACGGTGGTGCTGACGGTGCTGAAGTAAATAGGGCAGTTCTTAGGCACCTCAGAAGCACCTGTGGGGCTCAGATGCATGTATCCATGCCTCTACCCCATGATTCCAATTCAGAGGGCCTGGGGCTAGGTCCACAAGTAAATACCTTGGAAAAGCTCCCCAGATGATTCTGATACTCACCCCAGGTTAAGAAGTGCTGTCCTAAGTGAAGCCACAGGGCTTCAAGGAGTGATGGGGTGGAGGAAGTTACAAGGATTCTTTCGGGAAATAAGAGTTGGTGGGTGAAATCCTATTATCTAATTTATACACTTTAGTTTTATTTTCCCCCAAAGTACATTTACTCTTTTATAAAGCACGAACAGGTCCCCCACAACCAGACAGCAGGGCAAGGGGTAGGAGGGCAACAGATCCATTATACTGCTAGCTGGTACATCAGAAGAAAAACTTTGAAAAACAGGACGAGAGCCAAGTTTTGATCATAGAAAGAGATGGTTAAAGTCTGTCTTTAAGTTTGTACTCATTACCAAAGTGCCAAAAAAGAAATTCTGAACTGGGGGGAACAAATGCTCAGAGTCAAACATTCTAAATCTTCAAAGCCCAAAGCAGGGTCTGTAAGCAATTAAAGTTCTGGGACATTAATATTTTTTGACCCTGCGGAAAGGGGCAATCAAATTCCAATCACGTCTCAAAAACATCTGGACAAATTTGAGCAAATGATTTTTCAGCCTTCCATATATTTCTTTAAATTACGCTGTCAACGGAACAAACTGCGTCCTCCAGCACTAAATAAATGAGCGCCGCTGTTTGGGCCGAGCCTTGGAGAGAAACGTGCGGACGCGCACAGCGCCGCCCACTGCAGGCCTGAGCCGGCCATAAAACACCAACAATATGACACCGAAGCCAAAGACAGGAGTAAATCAAATAAATAGAAAACCCACTGTAAAAGTTCAAATGAGCTCTAGACCTAAATTTAGCCAGAGATTTACTATTTTCCCCTCTGGAATTGTAGTAAATTTTACGTCTGTGGAAGATGCCAAACAGCAACGTTGGAAAGAGAATAATTAGAGCTGCGGGTGGAGATGGGTACACGTGGGTGACATATAGACATCCTGAGTGTGCCTATGACGGGAGATGTGAAACCAGGAAGAAATGTGCACCTAGGGATCCAGGGAAGATCTGGATCCAGGAAAGACCCAGAAAAGTCCTGCCTGGGATCCCCAGGGTTGGGGATAAGAACTGTAAAAAGCCTGGATTCATAATAATAAAGCCATTCTCCCCAAGAAACTTGGTAATAGAGGAGATCAAGACAAACCCACAGCCCTTAATCAACTTGCG